AGCAAGCTCTACTTTCCATGTAACACCTCTTTCTTCTTCGTCTGTTATTTTATGAAAATTTATCTTCAGTTGTTTTTATCGTACATGTAGGTATTTGATATACACTATACTTAGGCCGTCCAGTGCTGCCCCAAAAACTGTACCATTTTGCACTAAATCTTGTATCAAATTAAAATTTATTTCCAATGCTAAAACTTATACCAAATGAAGAGTTTTTAATCATTTTCTTTTCATTTTTTATTCTTAATAATTTATTTATTTAAAAAAATATTTATTTATTTACTTTACAAATTACTAAATAAATAATTATGTTAAATTAAAAAAAATTACATTCATTAGTAAAATTAAAAAACGTAGTACAATTAGTAAAAATACTATAAAAATGAAAATATTAAATCAAATAATAATAATAGTAGTAGTAGTAGTAATTTATTATTATTGTATTAAAAAAATATATAATGATACAAATACCCTTCATCAGTTATTTGGCAAATGGGAAAAGGGCAAATTTGTCTTTGCACATTTGGTACAAGATGGTGCACAAACTTCAGTGTCAAGCTTTTGCACCACCAAAATTTGGTATTTTGGCCTAGTATTGGAGATGCCCTATTAAAATCAATTTTGTTTGACAAAACGGTTTATTTACTTGAATTAATCTCGGTTTGTGTATGCTGTTGACAAGGACAGGTTCAATTTTATGCTTTCCGTATGAGCTGCACACGGATGAGTATAAATGTATTTGTTATTGCCATTGGTTAATGGCTAAATGTTTTGAAGAGTTTTTTAGTGACAAGTGCTACAAAGAGAGAATTTTTACTGGGGATGATATTGAGTAGATCTAAAATGCTATAAAGAACTCGGCATAAACTTTTTTAATCAGTGTGAATGCCATATAAACAATGTAAAGAGCCTTTTTACGAACCATTGCTATGAAAATTGGCCCTAAATTGAAGTTCTAATGGTAACGAATGGCTAATCCCACCGACCAGAAGTTACAGATGCACCATTGAGAACGATGATTTGTCAAGGAAATTAAAAGCATTTGACATTATTCTTTTGATATTTACTATCAGGCTTCTAACATCATTTATCTCAATAGGGTCTATTGTTTTGTTCCAGTTAATTTTTCAGGCAATCTATTCTCAATTATTCTCCCTCCCCTCCCTAGATTGATTTTTATGTTTTTTGGAGTAAGTTTACATCCTGTCACTATTAACATCCTCATTTGCTAAATATTTCCTTGGAAAATCCCTCTGTTTATGCGAATAAATTTCTGGTCTTGTTTTATTACTTCCAGATAAACCTACTTTCTCGTTGTTTCTTGTATCTGATTAGTCTAGTTTACTGATGTTGCTTCCTTTCCAAACACAGCACCAAAAAGCTGTTTAATGCAACCTCCTGGGGGTAGTTCTCGCTCCTGGCAAGAGTATTATAGCAACTGGTAATATTTATGTGTTGATTTCTGCACTTCCCTTTCTTTCACAATAATTTAGGGCGCTTAAGGAGCGTTTGTGTATTTCTTATTTCTTGCTCTGGTCCTGGTGTTGGATGAATCTACTAGTATTCAAGTTTGTAAAGCCTCCAGAGAACAATGAAAAGCCAACAGATCAGAAAGGCAAAGTGAAGTTTAAAATCATGAGCCTAAAGATGAATGGACCGATGGACTACATAGCAGAACTGGGTTGTCACTTTCTTCTCCTGATAGCTTTATTTCTGTGCACCTATCTTGAAAATAATTTTGTGCTGCTGGCTATGTGCTCATACTCTTTTAGTTTGTGCTTCAATTGCAATAATTATGTTTATTGGTCTTGTTAATATAGTGACTGCATATATTATTGAAAATAATCGCATTATCAAGGCTCTGGAAAACGTGATTTGTCTAAGAAAGTCTCTTTGAACTTTCTCCTGATTGTTTCTAATCATTTCATGTTGTCTTGGAACACTTTGATGAGCAGAAGGATGAAGTGGCTGTGGAACAGATACTTCGGGTTGTATTTCTAGATGTGGAACGTCCTAGCCCAGTAACGATTCTAGACAGTGGTTCCTACAACATATACTGCATTTGCTGAACTACTTTGAAGCTTCATCTTTTGCATGCATTTTTACATTGAAAATGTTGATTTGTGAGATTATCTGCCTGCTGAATCTTTGAAGGCTCTAGAAAAACTGAAGCGGCAGTTGGCTGAAGCTGAGGCTGAGGCTGAATTGGAGGCTCGCAAGAAGCCTCTAGAAGACGCAGGTCCAACATTTATTGGTGAAGGACTTGTCATTGATGAATGGGTATGATATCTTTTGATACTTTAGAAACTTTTCTCTTGTAAGATTTTCATTCCCTTCTCTGTTTAGTATTTATTCCTGTCTTTCTTTTCCAAATTCTATTTTTTTAGAAAGAAAGAAGAGAAAGATATCTAGCACGTCAACAAGTTGAAGGGACAGACTCTGTATTACTGTAGGTTTGTTGTTCTCCTGCTGCTGGAAATTTCTGTTCTGGGCTTTAGATGAGTATAATGAACTTTTTGTATCAATGAACACTTTGTTACAAGTGTTGGTAGGAGATATTTGACTGTCAGTGGGACAACTGAGTAAAAACTGTAATTTTTAGGCGATGAGTTTGGCCTGTTGCCACATTTATGTAGATATTATGATTTTGCTTCTTTGAGCATGGAAAAAATATATATATTTCGGGTTTCTTTAAGTTATGGCTTGCATTTCTTCATCTCTGTTAGTATTATTTGAACTTGTGGCCAAATTTATTTTGGTTTCCGTGTTGCGTATCTTGAAGAGAATCAAGAAGAAAAATGGTATTATCATTCTCTTGTTGGAAAATTTGATTGCACATTGATGATTCCAATCTAGAGTTTTTTACTACTGCACCTGGAGTTCATCACGCATTATCTCAGGGATCGAAAAATTTACTGACGGACCTTCCATTTCTGTTTCGGGAAAAGGCTCTAATGAGACCAGCTCCTCGAAGTCCATTCATGAGGTTGGAAGGAGCCGGAAGGTGCAGTGCTCCCACCATACTCAAAATAAAACAAGGATAAAGATTATCTAAGCTGAAAGGTAAATAAGTATGAGAAGTAGGAAAAGAAAGAGATGAAAATTAGAATAGATAGATAAATAATGAAGACTACAAGAAAGTTTTACAACTTTTTGAGCAGTAACGATTGAAGAGAAAGATTAAGCATAAAATAAGTATTGCAAAAAGCACGATATTGAAATCTGTGGTCATCATAGCGATTCATTCTATTTTTAGAAAAATGTTCTAAAACCTACTACGGAACCATTGAGCCAGGGCCGTAATGGTGACTCTTTGAGAAGATAAATATAAGAAAAAAGATTTGTCTCGATTCTATCTATATCTTTCGACATCTCATCTATATAATATGATAATAGTTGGTGGAGGATCCTTGTGTATAGTGGTATAGATCTTTGTTTATTACTAGGAAGGTGGGCTACTTTCGTCTAATGATCATGGTAAATTCAAACTTGTAGTGTTCGATCGAGACTATATCATATTGAAGTGGGAAGACAGGACCGAATTAGACAGACACAAGAAGAATTGGTTTCATCCAACCAGCGTGAAAGTCAATTTCTGGTCAGCTAACTAAGAATTCAATAGAAAATATTGCTTTCCTAATTCTTTCTCAATATAACAATTTCTTGTAAGCCAAGAAACAAATAATTCAAGTTGTAATACGAACTACTCCGTGGAGAATCTCTAACCAATAAGCTACGACTACGAAACGAGTTGGATCTGGTTTAGTGATTGTTTCAATGCTCAAATCAAGGGGATAGTCCACTTATTCGATAGAAGATAAGCCTATATGTGTTGACTCTACTTCAGTTCCTTCTTCGTAGACTTATTTTCTGTATATACTTGTATCTTAAATTGAATATCTTCATTTGTTGAAATATACAAAATTATGTTATTTTCCTGAAACGTGCTTGTAACTGACCTCCCATAATACCACTCAATCGAACTGATAGGAAAAGAGAAGTCTCTCTCCCCCTTCCTCTTTCCCATTTCTTTTAGATTTTAGATTTTAGATTACTCCTTAAGCTGGTAAATAAATCTTGAGAAATTTCTGTGCTTAAAGTTTTGGGGGGGAAGCTCTGCAGAGAACTGGATATGGTCCCAACCAATGAAGCTAGTACCAGAGGAACTCCATGAAATATGGGAGTTTGTGTTTGGATCATTCGCCATACTAAACATTGTAGTCAGGAATGGAGGGGGTGCTCCAAACTCGCGCAGTCCTTTTCCAGTTTTTAGTCTCAGTGGATTCGAGCTTGGAAACTCTATCACCAATATTCATCATTGCAATTTTTCCTCAAGCTTTCAAGCTTGACCAAGAACAAAGTACCTTATTTGTGTATATATGATTAAAAAGCGAAATAATGCATGGTGTTAATCCAAACAAGAGTATATATTTGACAAAATCAAGACCCTTTAGTATTTTTTTCTTGATCCTCTAAAAAAATTAGTATCAAATGTATAGTTTTGAATTTAATCTCTAGCTATGTATCGTTTGTTATTTAACATCCCCAAGAATGTGAATGACTTTTGATACGAAAATGCTAAAGTGATTGAAAATGGTTGACAGAAGGGCTAACCGCCTCTCACATATCGCGGATCCTGTTTGAATAAGAAATTATTCATTCCCCCTTTTCTATGGCGTCACTGTCAGGGAGGTTGTCAGCCTCCCTATTCGTGTAGCATGATTCCTTTTGATATTGTGAAGAATTATAGAAAACTAACATGGGGTGGGTTTCATGTGAATAAAAAATTGTGAAAACATCCACCCTACTCATCCCCCTCGTGTGTGTTTTGAAGGGGTTTTGTCCTTATATCCCAAAAATGATTGTTTGATCAGCCCTGCTAAACAGCCCCTCCTCCAATAAGGGGGCCAAATAAGCCCCCTGGATGAGTAGATTAATTCATGGGCCTGGATGAGTAGATTAATTCTTGTTTGATATATGATCATGTAAATATCCTAAAAGTTTTGTAAATTTAGGCCGATTAATCCATGGGTCGCATTTGATATTCATGGACTTATGTTTATACATGTCTACACTTGTTCAATAAAATTCTCAAATATAGAATTTTTAATTTTAATTTCAATACCAAGCCTTTTGTGCTCTTAGTTTTTTAAGGGAGATTATAATTTCTTCCAAACTTACACTAAAATCCATTAATTCACTTCATTATAATTTTACACTCCGTTTGATTTCCATTTATATTAAAATACATTTTTCTCTCTCTGTTCTTTTTAATCACTAATTAAAATAATATTACACGTAAATCAAAAAAATTTCCTTATTTTTCATCCACACATTCTCCATCAATTTACTATTCTAAAATTCATTTTCTCTTAAAAATGGGTACAAACACCTATTTAATATAATTTCTCCCAAGCAAGTACCTGAAAGAGTTGTGAACAATCAAACTCGCGTTTAACGTTAATAGAGGAGTGAGATTTATTTTAAGTTTGATTTTCTAACACCTTGTATAATCTACTATCAGAATTATGTATTTATTTTTCATCATTGAATCGAATTGCATGATAATTATGTCATCAATTATTCAACTTGCTGAATAATGAAGAAATCTAAAGTAACTTTTGCATGTCAAATCCCTTTCACTCAAACTTTCATAACCTTTTTAGGTGCACTGTAATAAGTATCACATTTTTGCAGGACCAATTATCTCTTGAGTCCACAAGTGATGTACAAAATGCTTCCTTTCGCAAAAAGTTGTTCATGTATCACATTATTCTTTGATTTCGCATAACTAGATAAATTTGAGCATATTTGATATGCAATACTGAATATAATTAATTCTGTCGAGTTTTGTCCCGTTGCATATTAGAGGGATAATGAAAGGAAAAAAATCTCAAGAACCGAGGACAAATCAGTCATTACAAGACTTCATCATGAGTAATATTTGGATTAAGAGAGTAATTGCACTTTGTCATTGATTATTTGATTTGATACAATGGTAAACCCTCTATCTACTAAAACCTATAACCCCAAAACGTTTCCACTTTTAGTTAATTACAAAGGTTAACTGTATCTAAGCTTCATCGGAATAAACGCCGGAAAAGCCCACGTCATCTCGACAAAAAAAGATCAATCTCAATCAAATTCTCTTCATCGACTTCATTATTATTATTCTTCCCGTTTAGTTCAATTACTATCAACCCTTCTTTATCATCCTCTTCCCACCGGAAGCATAAGTTCTCAGATGACTCCCGGTCTTCGATCGTCAGGAAATCTCCCTCCGACGAAGTGTCTGTGTCGAATTTCGGGTAATACAGTGACAAAGATGCGTATTTTTCAATTATAGCCATTTGTGCCTCTCTCTTTCCCTCCCAAAACCCCTCGTTTCCTTCTTCTTCACCTTCGTATTCTTCATGTATAACCTCCAATGGTGCCCTCACGTCCCATTCCACAAAACACTCAGCCAAAACACTGGGACCCAGATTCAAATTCTGCTTCGGATCGCTGCGGGATTCACACGAAACCCGGTTGAGATCATGAAGCGAAAATTCTTCATTCTGCGTTAATAATTTCTCGGTGGAATTGAATTCCGGGGAATGGGGTCCAGTTTCCTTTTGGGTTTTTTGACTTGCACCGAGGCGGAGAAGATAGAGTAAGATAATTGAGGTAGATATTAGGACGGGGGAGAAAATGAGTCTATGAAAAAAAGCTGGGAAGTACAGTAGAATCAGAGTGTAGAAAGTGAAGATGGTGGAGAATAGAGTGTTTGAGCTAAGAAAGGAGAGTGTTTCTTGAAGAAAGATAAAGAAATTGGATTCTCTTTGTTTTTGCTTCTCCTCCATTGATGAATTTCTGAAGATGAAAAGACACTCAATTGTGGGAGATATTTATGAGTAGGAAATTCATCGAAGCCAGGTTGGGCTTAAATTGAAATTACATAATTCCATTATCGCATGCACTAACACAACGCCACTGTGCGTGTATCAGTGTATGAGAAAATAAATTTTTCAAGAAGAGACTGCTTTAATAAGTTTTAGGCTGGATTTTGTTGGTGTGGGTGTGGGGATGATGAAGGCATCAAGAAAAGCAAGTCTCCCTACCGTAAAATTTATAAATTCATGTATAATATAGGCCATTGTTTCGCATCCATTTTAATGATGTTTTAGGAAAAATATATTTTGAACTTGCAACTTTTTAAAGAATACATGGTTGAAAAGAAGAAAATTTTTTATATTTATGTATAATATTATTTTATTAAAGAATGTATAATTAAAAAGAAGAAATAAAAAATACATTAAAATTAAAATGAAGTCCAAACAGGGCTATTATTATGATTTAAAGTAATAAGGATTGTCAAGGACGCTTATTGTCTTTATGAAACGTAAGCTTTATAATCTAATATCTAGAATTGATAATCATTATTTGCCTTCCGTTGCATAAGAGTCAAATGGTTTCCTCTCATAAAAGGAAGTGTGGGAAAATTTTCAAGTTTCCACCTTTTAGTCATACATTCCAATTTAATCTGATAATTGAAATTCAATTGTCTTTTAATTAAACAACAATTATGCTACATAAACAGGCTCAAAGACAGGTTAAAAAATGGGAGGACACATATCGACATATGATTGGACAGTTTGAAAATAAAAAGACAAACATCCAAACAAGTGCTGCCAATTAAGTCCGTCTGCCCATTTTTGGCTTATCTCTGAACATGTTCAAGCATCATTATTCTTCAATTAAAGAGATTGTCTATCATTTGTCAACAAAACGATCAACAAGATATACACTAACTCACATAATAACGTACAACATGTGCCATTAATTAACTAATTTAGGTACCCACATGTACAAAATTCACACTTCCTCAAACGAAAAATAAAAAAAACTTGTAACAAAACCAAGTTTCGCCATTCACTAAGCACGTAGTTTTGCTCCTCCGTCGTTTAATTTTGTGTACATACATGTCCTTTTCTGTCGAATGTTCATTCATATATATGTATAAATATGGAGATGTGTGGATGAAGAGGAAAGGCAAGGGAAAAAGAAGGATGGAGATGTGTGGATGAAGAGGAAAGGCAAGGGATAAAGAAGGTGCTTGAAATGATATGTAAAAAGTAGATAGCTTTTTCGGGTTCTCTAACGTGGCTGGGATGGATGGTTCAGCGAATCATATAATGTTATGTTTGTGGAGGGAGGAAGGATATGCTTCCAATTCGAATAAAACACTATATTTATAAGCAGTAAAGCAACAATTTTGGTCAAGTGCGTAACTCTCTAATTTTGTACAAAGACCAATATCTCACTTTTAATGGTACTTCTACAATTCTTTCGAATTATTATTACAAATTTTTTTCCCCATCCTTAGTTGAATATATCTTGTCGGGAAAAAGATCCAAAATTTGCTTTTCAAGCGACGAATGAAATATAGAAATCTCTTACAAAGAATTTGAATTATCCATAAAAATAATAATAATAATAATAAGTCGTCCAATATTAAATCTCTTACAATGAATTTGAATTATCCATCTTCTTCAAAAGTTCTCAATATGTTTTTCGATTTCGTATTTTGCTTACATAATAAAAAAAATTCAAATCTTCAAATTGACTCTGATATCACTTATTGACCTTTTCAATTCTTGCTTTGAATATTGTATGTATTTATTAGATTGTGATACAAATCACAACCTAAAAATCCTACATTACACATGAAATTAATAAATGTAGTGTCAACTCAAACAGTAAAAGAATTTTTTTGTTAAACCATCAAATTTATTGCAATTGAAAAAGATTAAAGTCGAACGTAAATGTGCAACCACACACTTCTCTTCAAAACATCATTTAACAAAGTCTTCTAACTAAATCAATACGCGCAACTACTCCAATCATCCACAGCATGTTAATTGCCATACCATAAAATTTTCAAACACTCACAAAACAAGTGACCTAAATTCACAATGTTGATTCAGTCTCCACCTTACACTTCCTAAATTCCTAATTCATAAGTCCCACCATACCAATAAAGATGCCAATCATGCAAGTCTTGAATATTTTTATTTCAATCTCACCCTTGTGAAGAAAAATTATGTGCAAAGAAAACCTACCCTACACTTTCTTTAAATTTACATATTTGTTCTCATGGGTCATACTCAACACGGTCTGATTAGATGAACAAACTAACTTAAGATACGAATGATGTAAGAACTCAAGGGACTCAACACGTTTTTAGCTTTTTCGTCATACACATATCATGTTAAAGAAGTCAATAATGCAAGTTTGAGTGATCTTTTTTCCTCGATCCTTTGTTGGGAAATATTAAGATCGAAGCAAGAGGGCACGTCGTGTCCTGCTTTCTTGCTTTAAAGATGGAGGGAATGGAAATGGCAGTTGTTGGTTGTGGCAGACAATGAATCTCAGCCGTCAATTCAATTAGAACTCTTCAAAGACAAACGCTGTGCAATTGGAAAGTGAAAATTAGGGTAACCCAAAATAAAGTTTCAATAGTTAATTAATGACCGTTGATGTAACTTTAGAGAGCAAATCACGTGGGTTGGGTCCAGCTGTAATTGCAAGGGATTTTCAAAAAGTATTGAATTTTATTTAGCCATATTTGGTTGGAATTGAAATCATTTTTACTAGATTTTAATAAAAAATGATGAAATATGACTTAAATTAAAATCAGTTATAATTGATTGATTTAAATTAGAATCAATTATAATCAATTGATTTGTTATTTCATAATAGAATAGCCAATAATTAGTTTGATTGACAAAATCATTAATAAATTCAATGTTGACATTTATTGCGACATTAGAATTTTGTTCCTATATATTTACTATTAAGAGTCATTATTGCCCTTGCTTCTTATTTGTTATTGAAAAAATTAGAAAATCTTCAATCCTTTTGATTTAAATTGGTGTTCATCATAATCAATGATTTTGCCAATCAAAATCCAGTATCCTATTACGAAAATGTAACGACAATTTAAAGTCTCAACACTCAAATTATAATCAATGTTTTCGTTGTTATAATTTGAGTCTTGAAACTTTGAATTGCCTTCACATTTTCATTGTCAACTACAAATGTTTGCCAATATCATAGAAGTGTTATCAACTTTCAACTTCGTGTTAATGTTATCAATTCGCTACTTAATTCATTTAAATCTTATCAACTCCCCACTTAATTCGGATCTCATCTTTTTTCTTTTTTTTAAAAGAAATTTTGAAGGAGTACCAGCACCTACTTATTCGTTCATAGCATGTTTGATTTAGTGGAATTGTACAATACTAGACAACTTGAAAGATAGTTGCAACATTTTCCTCGACACCTAATTTCAACAAGCAAATCCATAATGCAAACTTATTAAAGTTCAAAATCATGGATGCGGGAAGAAGAATTTAATTCCATTTTCTTGTTAGTAACTTTGTAACTCGATAAAAGAATTGAAAATGAAGAACGTCATCTCCTAAAATAAAGAACCTCAGTTGAAGTATTGCACATAAAATGTTTTTTTTTTTCCTATTTCTATGTTTACACTCCGAGACGAACCCGACCAACACTTTCTTCTTTGTCACGAGGTATTTATCCGAGGTTTCCTTTAATCGACTACTCATCGAAACTGCACCTATTTGGACGGGAGAAAATCCATACTCGTGCTTGAGAAGCTAAAATCCCATTGACTTTAACAAGAAATATTGATCTCAATCATTTTGACTCACAATGATCTTCTCCAGAGACCTAAAATGGGCAACCTTAAGCATTTCTCAATCAGACCAGATTATAGATCAAAGTTGAATACAGATGTGATCACACATCATATCTCATCTAAGGAATCTCAATTTAATCCATAATTAGGTGATAGCCCAAGTGCCCAACACAAATAAATAGCCACCAACAGAAAGGTCGAACTCATTTTCTATCCAAGACTCAAAAGTACTTTTTAATACAAGAGTCAGAGGGACTTCAAAAGATTCTAATGTGCCATTTACATTTTGTTACCCTAAAGGAAGGCTCGAAGAAAATCTCACTCCAAGAGGCCAATGCGAGATCGTGCTTGGTAATCAAGCTATACTTTTCAACATCATCACCCATAATATTTCAGGACTCGTTCAATTTCTACTTGCCACAGCCCAGATCTAGTGCCCCCATGATGAGGATAAAAACTTTCCACTGCTCATGTGGCAAGAGAAAGCCCACCAAGGGCAGGAATGCAATTTCACTATTTGCCATCCTACATTTTCAACATCAGTACACTCTCCAAACCAATGAAAATACATTGGTCTCTACAGCAACAGTATGTAAAATCATGCTATTTGATTCATTGAAATAAATCAGAACTAGTATGTTGACTTACCTATACACACACCCTAAGATCATGGAGCAAATCTGTCACGAGCCCTCAACTCACCAATAGAGAGAGAGAGAGAGAGGTTCATTGTCTTCATTCATTCATTTGAGTATAATCTCTTCATTCCTTGCAGGTTAGAGTTAATGCCAGCCTACATTTTTTACATCATCCCAAATCAAAGAAAACATTCTGATACTGATAATTTAGTGCAGCATCAACACGAAGAATAATTCAATATCAAAATTAAGACATTTGAACTTCCAAGCTATACAGGAATATGTTATTAGATTGATTCAAATAAATCAGAAGAGTGTGCTGATGTACACACCCTAAGATCTTTATCAAAACAGAAGGGCCAACTCGGCCCTTCAAGAAATCCGTAAACTATTCCTGACTAAAATCTACATACATGTAAACAAATAAAGACAAGCCTATTCCTGACTAAAATCTACATACATGTAAACAAATAAAGACAAGCCGAACTATCTTCAATGGAATAGTTGAAGAAAACAGGCCTGAAGATATTGCTTCAACATGTACAAACAATTCCAACCTGATGTACTATTTCTGCAACAACTAGAACATTGCATGCCTATACTATACATAACCCTCAATTTCATATCTCTGTTTCCATTGCCATTAAATCTTTTCGTGGCTAATTGTCTTCGCTACCAGAAGCGAACAAGGCCACTGAGATGGCAGCTAGCTTCTTTGAACTCAACCGAGACCTTGGAACCCTAGACTGCTTTGGAGCATTAGGAGCTTCAATGTCATTGAACTCACGCATATCCTCCACGTTCTGGAACCCAACGGTCTTCCTTGGAGTACTATATGCAAAGTGCCACCGTTTTGCAATCAGAGTCTGTTTATTCAAGCAAAAATCCCAAATTAATATTCAAACTCAAGTAAATTCCCAGGGGAAAAAAATTAATTAAAATAAAAATCTTTAGGGCCACAAAATCTTACCTCATCTCGTATTGATTTTGATACTAAAACCAACTTCTTCAAATCATCATGCTCGACACCACACAATATCCTAATCTGCAAAAAAAATTCTCACCATTTTAGGAACTCAATTTAACGAGACATTCTAATTTTGTAACCATAATACTTTTACTAATCAACCATAAACAGTTATATATACTTAAAATTACCCATTTAAGCATAATTTTCTCTACAATACTGAAAGAATTGACTCAGAAAAAGGGTGCTAACCAGAACGTCCTGAGGCAGGGCTTCAAGAACATACTTGTCTGAACAGAGAACTGAATTTTCATAGCACTGTCTCTTTGTCGGTGTGGTGAGATTATAATCATTATGACCATCAAACTCCAAATTAATATTCGACAAAGCAACCCTTTTCCTCCCAAACGATGTACTCCTCACCAGTCCCACCCCATACCCTTCATTTGCTCTATTCACAATTGACTCACATTTCTTCCCCAACACCATTTTTTGTTGCTATTCTTTCTCTCTTTACAAGCACAATCAGATTATCCAAAAAAAACCAGAACCCAAATTGAAATGTTCAAATAATAGATTCCAACTAGCCAAAAACAGTCAAAAAATCTATTTCACTTCCTATAAATCCTTTCCTGGCAGAAGTATACAATGATATATATTAGTGTACAACATTCCAAAATCGTGAGAAGCCCTAATTTGAGGCAGAGAGTAAATGGAGATTGATGTAACGGTTGTAGCGTAAAAGGAAACAAGAACAGACTTCCAAATATATTCTATCTTTACACTTTACTGTATATCACTCTCCTTTATATACAGTCAAGTTTTCTCATTTAAAAATGGCTTTTTCAAAATTATTTTTTCTTTTTGGGTTTTTTAACAAGCGAGTATCATCAAAGGCTAAAAAAATCTGCTTCGAAAAATATTTGAGATTTTCTAGAAATGACTTGAATTTTCCTATTTAAAAATGGAAAATATAGAATACCCAAAAACTAGCCGTTATGAATGGTTAGGGAAGCAAGTTGGGTGGTTCTGATGACGTGGCAAACAGTGGTCAGTCTTTATCTAAAACACGTCTTTGGTGATGTGCTATTTACACTTGACGCGTAGTTTTAGAAATGACAATTGAATAGGATGCTGACATGTGTAAGTTTTATGGATCAAATGGTCCAGATTCGGTGTGGAGAAATGGAGAAAGCTATGGATTCTAAATCGGCGGCTGAAGCGTGTTGACGGCTATTTACAGTTTATACATGTTTTACTTGGTCATTCTGTGGAATGCCAGCCAATGGGAATGGAGTTCACAGGTCGGCATGGACCACCATCGTTTGGCCCATAGGCGTGATTACAGGTGGAACCGCTAGTGGGCTTGCCTCGGTCGAACTCGTTTTGTGATGAGCCATTGATCGAATCACACACATTTTTCACAGCTGGCTGGTTTTGGATTCATGGGCGGACTCATTTTTTGGACTTTTTTCATGATCCTATGTCTTATTTAACAAAAAAAGTTGATAAAAATTTTAACGGTCATACTACATATACAATCGAAGTTGACAACCACACATATAAAAGGGGATCCACAATGAATAAAAAAATTGTAAATCCTCTCCTGTGAAGAGGTTGTCCACCCCGATTGTACAACTAGCGAAATTCAAATTTTATGTAAACTCAACAATTAATTTCGACCTATTTTATGAGATTGTTATCCACTTTTTAAAAATACATTTCATCAATTTTTATCTAAATTTACAACCAAATTTTTTTTTTGATTTTCAACAAAACCAAACAGTGACTTAAATTTGTGGATATAAATTGAGCTCGAGTGTCTAAATATAGAGCCTAGTTTGTGGATATGAATTGAGCTTGAGTGTCTAAAAATTGAGCCAACTCACTTGATCCATTGTCACTCTTTCGCGTGATGATTAAAATTGAATATTAACGTATTTATATATTTTTCAAATTTTTACATTTTCGATACTTTGAATTAGAACCCTTGTCAACATTAAGTTTGAGAACAAATAACACATCAACACCATCTCTCAAATTTATAATCGATATAGAAGAAGTTTGACCATTGGTGAGATCAAACGAAATGTTCGTTGGTTAGTCATACATGTTTAACTAGTCTTTTTGAACAAGTCTTACTTGAACTCGGGTACTTATATGGACCAAGACATAACGCTATAAACTTAAGCAAGAAAAATAAAAATTATAAATTTGTATGTTTTTCCTAATAGAAGTTAATTGCTTGTAATTATTCAAATTTGCTTGAAATCTTAATGATTAAGTTAATTTTAATTTAATAAATACACTTTAAATTTTATATTTAATTCCATTAATAACACAAGAACCAAAAATTTTAAGGAAAAGTATGGAATTCCTAAGAAGGTTTTAAATCTGATAATAAATTCAGATTGAGAATTAATTTGGCCGAGTATGTATTTGGAATAAGTTGAGTATAAGAAAGAACTAAGGGACTGTTTGATTGTAAAGATAGAATTTGGGTAAAAAAACAAATTTCAGGGAATTGAATTGTCTAAAAATTGCTTTACTGGAAATTGTCAATTATTGTATTTGATTGGTATAATTTTTCATATGAAAAATGTTGAAATAAAAGTATTTTTGATATTCGTTTGACTTTGTTTTATATGAAAATTGTTAATTAAAGGGATATAATTTATTGTATTGGGGATCTAATGTTTCCATTGTCCAAAAAAAAGCCAGGAAAATCATCTATCTTTTGGTGTTCGTTTGACTTTATTTTATATGGAAATTGTTAATTAAAGAAAAATATTTTTTTTTATAATTAGGGATAGAATTTATTTCCATTGCCAAAAATAAAAAAATTAACAGATCAGCCTAGAAAACCAAGAAAATGTCCACTTTTTAAGAAAACTAATTCCATAAAAAAAATATACTATCAAACAGTCAAAAAATGAAAATTTGAATTTGAATTCCCTTTTTTATGGAAAATAATGGTCAATCAAACATGGCCTAATTGTTACAGACTTATAGTTCAAAGATTATTGATGTGATAAAACAAATAAATAAAAGAAAAACGAAAGTTATGTGAAAGGAGCTCAATTTTTTTTTTAAATAAATTTGAATGAAGATAGAACGACTCTTTAATGGGTCCTCATATTATGGAGGGAAACAAATTGAATTCTGGATTCCATCTGGAAGGGCGTGGGCGTGCAATGAATATCCGTTTAAAATGATTTATTTAAATATTATTTCATAGAGAAATATAAAAAACACGTGTAACAATAATTTCATAAAGTA